AATCCCTATGCTCACCAAATAAGGCAACAAAGCCAAACATAGTCTCAACAACAGCAACATAATAATAACAAGCTAATAGCATATCATCAGCAGATATAATCCAGCATCCAAACATATCATCAAAAAACAGCAATATCAGCTAAGCTTCGGCCTCATGCCGCTAGAGGTCTCAACCCCTGGGTTACCTGAACCTGAAATAAGCGCCCCAAACGTGGGGTGAGATCTCTAAACAGAAATCTCAATAAGGCAAGGGGTCCTCAAGGATCTTCCACCCCAAGCTCACTTACATGTGCAATATAAGTTTCAAAAGCAGTTAAACAGTATAAGTTCTAAAACAGTGCAATGCAGCATATAATCATGTCATGTGTGTTATAACTAATCTACTGGCCAGAGAAATGCAGGAATACGTCTATCACCCACACTAGTGCAAGACGCCCCTTGCACCCACCCACAGTGTCACCGTCTTGTATGACGCCACATACTCAGGTTTACCGTCTAAGTGGAACAACACATACATATTATAAGCGATTGCACATAAAGCTCAACAACACTTTCAATTATCAAAGCATGTAAACACATCATGCATATAAACCATTCCCCCATGGGGTATGTGGAACCACACAATGGCTAAACCGATGACACGAAAGCTTACCTTGTAAGCTAACTATCCAAGCCAAGAGTCCACACAAGCTCAAATTCCACACACAGCAGAATCACAATCTGTTTTGGACCAACAATCATATCAATATTCAAACATACAAGCATATTACATAAAGACAACGCCTTTCCTTTACGTTTAATGTCTTTAGGCTTCTCACAAAGCCACAAGCCCTTAATCACTTTGATTCTGACTTAGATTAATTATTACAGAAGTTCCATTTCATCACTCTAGGGTCCACAACCCCAAACACAGTTCTGTATGAACAGTACAGACACTGTCTCGAAATTCCCAGAATATCCGGATATTTGTCGGGGACATATTCGGATACCCCATATCCGGATATCCATATGCGGATCTCATAGGACCCCATATTCGGATATCAATATCCGGATATTTCGCGACAAAATGCAGTTCTGCATTTTCGCGAAGATATCACTCAAAGGTTCAACTTTTACTACTAACATACATCCAAGACTCCATTTTTAGGCACATAAAGGTTCATATACATGTTGGTTACTTAAACAACTCATTAAACATGCCAAGACTCCACCTTTAACTATCTAAAACTCATGATCAAGGTTGGTAACACTTACCCAAGCTTAAACAGAGCAACAATGGCTCTTGGAGCTCTCACAACAGCTCCTCAAGTTCTAACCTTCAAGAAAAGCGAAAATGGCACCCCAAAGGTTGGTTCTTTGCACCCAAAGATAACTCTTTGAAGCTCAAAGTGTCATTACCAAAGGCTCTCACAACACTTTTACAAAGTCAGCACCTAGACTTCACCAAGACAGTGGTCATAACCCAGAAACAAGGTCAACACTCACCCCCAATGGTAATCCTCACTCACACCAAGTGTTTAGGAGAAGATTTCATGAAGGAAATGACCTCTTGGCTCAAGAAATGGTGAAGGAAAAGCAATGGAACAGTAGGAGAATGCTGGTCAGCCTCCACTCCACGTAAAACAAAAGGTTTCCTAGGGTTTAATGCCAAAACGAGCATATATATAGGCAGTTTAAGTTTAAACGCACAGTATTAGCAGTAATTGCTACGCTTAGCATTTTAATCTCAAATTTAGGATTCTGAACCTACTCATTTTTTTAAGATTTATCATATTTTTATTTTATTTTTCGCAGTACCTTTCCGGTACGCGCTTTTACATAGCCAGTATCAGTTCTTGCACCAGTTCTCATTATTTTGACCTGAAACTTGTTTTACCAGTTCTATATATTATTCTATAAATATTCCCACTCTTATTATAATTTTCTGGGTTACTTCATCGGTACGCATTTATACCGAGTAGTAGAACTGGTATCTGTACTTTTCGTCAGAAAAGCGACTTTCAGCAATATTAATCACTTACCAATATTATTTAAGCCTTCTCATAATTATTATGAATTATGGAATTATTTCTTAATTTCACACAATTAATTAATTAACTTCCTCAATTAATGGTGTGGGTTCTTACAATACCATTCTTTGAGAGAACCAACCATTCTTGAGCAAAACTCTTCCATTACTTTGTAAGGGTCAGCATCAGCTGCTAAGAGCTTAGTATCAATTCATGCTCCAAATTCTAAGAGTCTTTTTCTCCATAGGTTTGGAGAAATATTATCAAGTTTAAACCATGGTCCTGCTGCAGTTGATTTCTTACTATGATTTCTGCTAGTAGCATCACCTGTTTCAGATTCAGGAGAATCATAGTACGACTCAACTCTAGATTTTGCAGTTCTGGCCATCAATATGCCAGTAATATCAGCATAATTTGCTTTTGAAAGATCAGAAGAATCTAACTCATCAGATTGTTCTTCTTCAGAAGTGTCTGGTGTGGTCTCAGGAGTTTGATGATCTAGTTTTGGTTCAAAAGTTTCGTTGGAAGCAATCTTAGAGGAATCAGAACTCTGGGAGGTTGAGGAAGATTCTGTTGTTATAGAGGTTTGGGATTCATCTGTGTCTTGGGGTTCTGTCTGGATGATGGAAAATTGGTCTTTGAGATCTACGATCTCAAAAGTTCTTTTTGAAGAACTAGGATTACTCATATGGTCTGTAGAGTCTGAGGATAAGGAAATAGTTGTTTCCATTCTAGTTCTATATGAATGTTTCCTAGAAATAGAAGGTTGTTTTCCTCTCTCTACTTTCTCTTCTAGTCCTTTGGTCATAAGGCTGGCTAGTAGGAAAAGTCCAAGGTTTTGGAAGATGTGGGTTGGTCCAGAATTCTGATGGTTTTTTGAAAGGAGAATAATAATTTGGCATTGGAGGTGGCAGAAAAGGGTTATAATTTTGTGTTGGTTCTGACTTCTGCTGAGATCTGATGTTTTGTTCAATGATTCTCTCCAAATCTTGGATTTCTGCTTTTAGTCTCCTTATCTTTTTTTCTCTCATATTGGCTTCTGGAGTAAAGCCTAGCTTTCTTATTTCTTCTTCAAGCTGGGCTATTTGCTTCATATTCTCTCGTAATGCTTTCTCATCTTTTTTGAGAGATGTTGCAGACGATCTTCAACTGTATCCATCTGATTACAAATCTTTTCAACCATAGTATCAAGTCTTCTCAGAATAGTATTATGGGCTTGAGCATTCTCAATCTGCCAATTGAGAACTTCTTCAGCTTGGCTTAATGGCTTCAACTTTCCATCTGGCTGGACTTCTCCTTGATTAATTACAAGCTTGGTGGTGATTTTTGTGGTTGGGTCAATATGTATTTCCAAGGGAGGAAAATCATGTTGTGAAAACATCATGCAAGGTATTGGTTCAGGCTGATAGTTTGGAGACCAGGTTAAAAGGTTAGGGTCATTTGGTGGTTCAGGTAGAAGTAATTCTTCTTCTCTCAGAATTTCTAAACCTCTTTTATAGATCCAAAGAGGCTCAGGTTTTTTCTGTGTCTTAAGACCTACCCATGGGCCATTATCTGGGTCAGATCTTCTTTGGACAGGAGGTGGTGGTTTGTAATGCCGTCTGCGACTCCTTATATCTTCTTCTTCACCTTCTTCTTCATCTGAAGTATCTCCTATATGCATCCAACAATCATACTCAGGATCACACATATTAGGATCTGTATCCCATATGAAATGACCATCAATACGATCAGTAAAAGCAGGAGATCCATATGGCATTATCCCATGAACAGGGATCCAATCTTCTGTATAACATGGAGGTATCATCATAGACTGAAAAATAGGAAGAGTAGAGCTGCTAGCTACTGCATCTGGTTTCTTGAAGATTGTTCTGACAGTTCCATCTACAGATTTTCTGAAACTCGCCTCATGAGACTAGATGGGCTTACTGGCTTTATGAATCTTTTCATAATTAGTCAGTCATTTTAAAGGGATTAATTCTGTCAATTCTTCACGAGATATCTTTCTCGAAATCTGAATGATAAAAGATGTATCTTCTGAGTTTTTGGGTATCACACATAGGTAGGCTCTGATAGGAAGTGTATGTTCAATTTTCAAGAATTCCTAAAGACTTGAAATGGAAACGCAAGTCATAACCAAGGAAAGTGAAGCGAGTAAAATTCAAAATCGACGACGGGAAGCTCATAACTAGGGGTGTTCATCAACCGATCCAAACCAATTCAAACCGCGAAAACCGAACCGAAAAATCGAAAACTGAAAACCGAAAAATCGGAAACCGAAAGAAAACCGCAAATTTTAATTGGATTGGATCGGTTTTCGGATGGGTTGATGAAAACCGATCCAATCCAAACCGATCCAATATATTAATTATCCTCTACCTACTTGTCCTTTCTCCAACCATAGCCCAAAAATTTCTAAACTCAAGACCCATTAACTCATCAACTAAACCCAAAAAAAACTTAGTCACGTCTCATCAACTATAATATTGTTTACTGATATTTTTGTATTTCAATTTTTTTTTTTTTACAAAGCCAATATATACAAAAGATGTTATTTGCACAATAATCATGAAACTAATTTTAGGATATTCAAAAAACTGAAAACTGATCCAATCCAAACCGAAAAAAATTGGATTGGATCGGATCGGATTTGAAAAAAAATCTAAACCTAATGGATGATTACATGATCAAACCGAAGGAATTGGATCAGATGAGTTTTGCTTCCAAAACCGATCCAATCCAGACCGCGAACACCCCTACTCATAACTATTTTTTTATGTATATTTTTTTATTTTTAGCTTTTGATAGATGACAGTGATAGCTTAATAAAATATATTGCTGTCTTTTTCTTTTTCTTTTTTATTTACAAAATAATGCATGATAAACAAATTTTATTAAAAAAAGAAAAAACATATTGGCTGCTGGCGAATCTTTTTGGATGATTAAAAAAAGAAAAAGAAAAAGGAAAGGAATGTTAGCCGGTTCAATGTACGCCTCCTCGCTCTGAGTCTCCGTTGATTGCAGCAAACAGAGAGTTAAACCGCTTTTTAAAAACTGAACCCTAAAACACTGAATCTCTTTTGGAAACTGAATCTATGGCTTCTGATTCAAACGAACATGCAACGAGCAACACGCTTCAGTCCATATGCTACAAGCGCGGTTCCCTTCAGCTTCTTGATCAGGTCTATTTATTCCTCATCGTTTTCGTATGTAATTGTAAGTGATGAATGTTGAGAATGGCTAATATGGAATGCTAAAAATGTTTTAGGGCAATTTGTTATGTTTTGTTTCGTGAAAAGTGTTTATTCTTATTAGAATTGTTTTTCCCTTTACATTTTTTTTTTTGGCTGGTAAGTTAGTGTACTCATTCAATGCTTATTTTCTTAATCTTTACTCACGCTGATGATACTTGTTGTGCAGAGAAAGCTACCACTAGATACAATTTACTTGGATATTCGGGATTCAACAGATGGCTGGTAAGATATTATTATAGTTGAGAATTTAATGGGGAGAAAAAACTTTGCTTGGATCATTTCTTATGCTTTGTTTGAATTCTAATACAACAAGGAGTTATAATGTCATTATTGCATTTACATATATAGTTTCTACATTCTAAGTTGATTTTAGTCATGTTACCATAGTTACAGTTTCAGTTGTCAAAATAATTTTGTCTGCGCTTGTAGAAATGAAAAAAAAAAGCCTCTGGAATCTGGAATAGGATCTTCTTGATATTTTCAATTTGTGGATTCGAATATTTAAATGTTCATAATATTCTTAGGAATGCCATACGGGATATGGTGGTCCGGGGTGCACCTGCTATTGCTATTGCAGCAGCACTCTCTTTGGCTGTGGAGTTGTTCAATTTAGATTGTTTTAATGGGTCACCTGGTGATGCTGCTTCCTTCCTGCAGAAGAAATTAGAATATCTTGTCTCGAGGTATTTTCAATTCTCTGCATTGCTAAGAGAGCAATCTGCTTATTTTGATTAATTTAAGTATTCCTTTGCCTGGTTAATAGCATTTGGCATATGGAAGTGTCTCCTTAAGAGTTGAGGTTGTTTTCATGAAGTTCCTTTCAAGAATGAGTTTTAGTTGATTCCTTTCTTCATGCTTCAGTCGGCCGACTGCAGTAAACCTATCAGATGCTGCTACAAAACTTAAAGAAGTCATATCTAAGGCCGCTGCTACCACTTCAGAGGCCAGGAGTGTTTTTCAGGTATTGCTAATATTTATAATGAAGGAATTCTTGCAAATAAATGAAGTCATTTGAACCTGAATATACTGGATTACTCTGTAGGCATATGTAGAAGCTGCTGAAATTATGCTTGAGGATGATGTTGCCTCGAATAGAGCAATTGGTTCTAATGGAGCTAGTTTTATTCAACATCAAACAGAGAAAAAGAAGCTTTCTGTTTTGACCCATTGCAACACTGGAAGGTGCCTGTTTCTGTACTGTCCTTTATTATTATAGTATAAACATAAATATCTCTTGTTTTTAATTTGTTTGATAAATGAAGTAAGAAGGTGTTTGAACCCACTTGCAACTGTGTTTGATTTGTTACTCAGTCTTGCCACAGCTGGATATGGTACTGCTCTGGGTGTAATCCGTTCACTTCACAGTGGAGGAGTTTTAGAAAGTGCTTATTGCACAGAAACACGTCCATTCAATCAAGTGAGTGCATTTTTTCAAAATATAGTTATACCCTTCTTTTGAGAGAAGATGCATCCTCTAAGTTACTTTTCAATAGGATGATCCGTGTAACTTGTAATTTTCTGCAACTTGGATTAATAGCATTGCTTGAAAACAGAAAAACATTGATGATGTACTTACCTTTTGGTTTATGGTCCATCTTCAAAGTTTCAATACTTAACATGGATCGCTGAACAAGAGTACTTGAATTACAGATATTCTTCAATTTGTATCTCGGTGATAGTTAAAGTTTATCTTGTTATTTATATTTCAGCTTAAGTTGTCTGCCCAGCCATTCGTTTAAAAAGGAAAAGGAGAGAAACAAAATTCTTGGAACCCCTTTTAATTATATTTTCGTTAACTGAGTCAGAGAATATCCCCTGGTGATGTTAATGCTGATTATAGCTTCAGTATTTATTTAATTATTTTTTGTATCGTAATTTTTTTTGGGGGATTGAAGACAATGATGGCCAATAGTTTTGCAAGTAGGGGTTTCATGAAGAGGTTTTTTTTTTTAATATCCAAGACAACGATGGAATTGGTTAGCTGATGCCTCAAGTAGTTTTGACATTACATCTCTAACCTTTATCGATGTAGGCTTTTTCCTGCGTCAATGTACAGAATCACATTTACATCAAATGCATCCTATGAAATCAACAAGTTAAAATGATTTGGAGTTTGCGCTTATTAATCATAATGCCTAATTGCAGGGATCTAGACTTACTGCCTTTGAGTTGGTGCATGAAAAAATACCAGCAACCCTTATAGCGGATTCTGCTGCAGCTGCATTAATGAAAGCAGGACGTGTGGATGCTGTTGTTGTTGGGGCAGATCGTGTTGCGTCAAATGGTACTTTGAGTTACAACGAAAATAAACTATAATCTGCTTGTTTTCTAAAGCATGAAAGCTACCATCGGATTTATCTTCTTTTATATGACATTACAGGTGACACAGCCAACAAAATTGGAACTTATAGTGTTGCCTTATGTGCCAAGTTTCATAACGTACCTTTTTATGTGGCTGCACCCCTGACATCCGTTGATCTATCACTTTCTTCTGGACAAGAAATTGTCATTGAGGAGAGATCTCCCAAGGAATTGTTGAACTCACGTGGAGGACTTGGAGAGCAGGTTGCTGCCTCAGGAATTGCTGTCTGGAACCCGGCTTTTGATGTTACACCTGCTAATCTAATATCTGGGATCATCACTGAGAAGGTCTTTTCTCTTGACTTGCATGTTGCATCAGTTGTATGGGTTCGGTTGCATTTTGTTCTCTGACCATTTTATGTTTTCTGAACAGGGTGTCATTACGAAGACATCTACTAGTGATGCTTTTGACATAAAAGCTTTCGTGCAGAAAACTAGTTAAGGGCTGAACCACGGAAGGACTTAGTGCCAATGATCCATGGTGGTGGAGTGAGATTTTTCTCACACGTTAATCCATTGTAGATTTGGTAAGAATTTGTGTTGAAGGGGACTTGTGACTGGAGGATCGGCTTGTTCAATGTATATGTAAGTTTCCCTGAAATTGGGGCCTAGTTAACAAACAGGTGAATAAGAAATTGGTGACTCCCATGCCCTGTATGGGTAAAATAGAACGATGTAGGTTCTTCGAGGGTTTGTTTGGAATGTGTAATAAGATAAGGCGCCATAGTAAAAAGACTTGATGGTATAAGGCCCAGTTATTTAAGAAATTATAAAAATGTAACATACGCAGTGTTTGGTGAGACGTCGAATAAGATATTGTATTATATAAGTTAGTATTAGCATATATTTGGTAGTGTGTTGAATAATATTAGTTAAGATACAATTTTTCTTTGTCTCATCTCTCATCTCTCCCGCTTAATTTTATGACAAAAATGCATTTTTTTCTATAAAAAAAAGTTATTTAAATATATTATTATTATTATTATTATTATTATTATTATTATTATTATTATTATTATATTGGCTGTCGTCCCTATCTTCTCATTTCCATGAAGTGAACTTAATCTATCACTCGGATCACATGCTTTGCTACTTAAACACAATCAAGCATAATGTTATACTTATCCCCCAACCAAGCTTAAAAAGATAATGTGGTGAACACCAGGTAAAAACCAAGTAAACGATTACATCTCATAACATTTGAAATCTATGAACACGTTGATGATGCGGGCACTCCTTTCCAATTGCAGAAACCACAATACTCCACAAATAACACATTGCCACGAGAATTTAGTTTCCTCCTTCTTACAAAACCTTGAAAATGAATACTTAAAAATTGATCTAGCAACTAACAAGCACTTAGATCAACTGATAAGGGGTTGATACATTTTATCTATTGATATCCAGCTTTTATTATAAAGAGTTTTGCCACCATGACATTTTCTTAAAAAATTAAAATTCTGAAAACAAATAAAATTATACAGCTTTGATGGGAAAACGGTGAACACTAATGAATGATAGTATTTTTTGTTTATTTATCAAAATGTGATACTTCTCACCTAAGTATCCCCAAAAATCTAATTTTTAAGTCATCTCCTAATTTTAAAGAGACCAAATTTATAAAAGGAAAATATTATTTGTAAGATAAATTTCAAAAGAATAGCATGAGCATGACTCACATTCACTACTAAGTTAGCATCCCAACAATTCAGAACAATATCATACTTCGAACTATCTAATTTTAAAAGATACAAACTTATATTATTTTAAGAAAGAGATAGAAATAAAGAGATATGAGTCCTATTTTTTTTTGACTTTATTTTTTTTAATGAGACCCACATCTTTTTATATCCAGAGAAAATTTATACTTATTTATATTTGTTTTTACTACTTCTTATTATCAAATTTTAATTGTTAATTTCTGCCAATGTAACAGCTATAATTTAATAGGTCACACTTATTAATTTCCAACAAATTATACTCATTAAATTAATAAAAACCAATAGTTAAGATTTGATAGTAAAAAATAATAATAAATATAACATCTCCCTTAAAACTACCTAAATTTCTAGATAGAATCAGACACTTATCCCCTTTCATCTTGTATCATAAAACTAAAACATTTGTCTTTAAAGGGAAACCACTCCTCTACCCTAAAAAAGAAAAAGAAAAAAAAGGGAAAGCACTCCAAAATACATTTATTTGAGCCGATTTCCGGTTCTCGCAAATTGGAACTTCGAAGGAAAAACAAAAACCTGCGAACGGCTTTGCACTCTTTGATACGCAAAACCCTTCGATCAAAGGTGCGCATTTTTCATTCCTCTTTTGATGCATATTCTAGTTTTTTTTTTTTGGTGATGAATTCGTTGCAGGATGAGCAGAAGATTGATGCTCTGTTTTCGCAGGTTGGAATTGAAATGCAGAAGAAGTCGCTATTGCCACTGAACGACGCCAATGCAAACAAGAAGAAGAAGGTGCCATTGTGCGGCAAGGAAGCATTGGTGAAGCTTCTAAGATGGCATTTTGGGTACCCTGATTTTAGGGGCATGCAATTGGAAGCTATTCAGGCTGTGCTCTCAGGTGCATTTACCTTTTTCCTTTCTAGGTTCTAGCAATATTTCGATTATTGCCACTCAAAAGCATACGAAAACGGAATTCCGATATTTTCCTTCATATTTGGTAGTAATTGACTAATTGGTGCCTTGAACTTCGGTAAATGTTGTTGAGCCTGCAGTTACGGTCTTATAAGATGTAGTTGAGCGTTAAGTAACAATTTCAGCTCTGTTCTTTGCATTAGGAATAGAGAAGTGACTGTTTGCTTGAAAAATTGTAATTTAAGTTGGAATTTTCCATTGATTTTGGGTGAAATTTCACCCGTTTTGCTTGTTTTTTTGGCTGCAGGAAGAGATTGTTTTTGTCTTATGCCAACTGGAGGAGGCAAGTCAATGTGTTATCAGATCCCTGCATTGGCAAAACCTGGAATTGTGCTTGTGGTTTGTCCTTTAATAGGTGAATCATGTTCATCTTTTTTTTAGAGTTTGCATCTTTGGCCGAGCTAAATGCTGCATGATAACTCGCTTGATTTTACATGCTAGGAAACAGTTGTGATTTCTGACTTTTGTTCTGCTGACAGCCTTGATGGTAGGCATCTTTTCAACTCTATCGAATTTATTGTTTTTTCAGACATGTTGAGTTTTTGAGTTTAGAGTTTGTTTTTGCTCATTTGTTCTTTCTATAAGTTAGGAAAACCAAGTAATGGCACTAAAGAAGAAAGGAATTACTGCGGAATTTCTCTCCTCAACGAAAACGGCAGAAGCAAAAAATAAGGTGAATTATTAGAAAGATGATATTTTGTTGCAAATAATATATCTGCATATATCAATGTGAAATAGAAGTTTGGGTAATATAATAATTGCAATAATCTCAATACTATTGTCTTAGTTCCTGGGGTTTATATTGGAGTAAGTTTGGGTTTATATGGACTTTAAAGTATATTTAGTACATTCAAGCTTCTTTGTGAAACCACTAAGATTTCAGGATTTCTTATCCCTGATGTTAATGGCATATTCAATTATAAAATTTTCCCCTTGTTTTGTTTGGGGTAAGGGAAAGGATCCGTGTCAAAATCATTTATATGAATGTGTAACCAATTTCTTACTTGTTCCCAAGTGTTACTAATTCAGGAAAGTGATTTTTCTGTTTTATTTTTTAAGATTCATGAGGACCTTGATTCTGGAAAACCTTCTACAAGGCTGCTATATGTGACTCCAGAGTTGATAGCAACACCTGGGTTTATGTCAAAGCTGTCAAAGATTTATGCTAGGGGGTTGCTAAGTCTCATTGCCATAGATGAGGTGTGACCTAGAAAGACCATTTCAAATTTCTTTTTCTGCTGGAATTTTCTGCTTTACTTAATAATTTCACTTCTCCAAAACTTTCAGGCGCATTGCATCTCAACTTGGGGCCATGATTTCAGGTTTGTCGTACATTCTGCAAGTAGCCAATTGGAGTATGTCCTGCTGGAATTTCATCTTTGTTATCTTATAGGGTCTATATGTTTCTGCTAAGGCAATATAAAGATTACATGGTTAATATTTATTTCCCTAGTGCGTTGCCTAGTTAAATTCAGTCCTCTCTTTTACTCCACTCACATGTATATATGTGTACTTTTTTATTTACTTTTACTCAAATGGAAAAAATGCTGAATATTATTTTTAAATAATACTTTGCATGGATTCATTATGATTTGTAGACCAAACAAAATAGTTACTTGCCTAAAATAACGACAGAAACTATGATAACAGAATACTTTACAATAGTTGCAATGAATTATAGAAAATATTATATGGTAAAATATGTGGGACAGACGTGGAACTACTAAAACACCCCCTCTCAAGCATGTGAATGGATACATATCATTCTCAGTTTGCCAATAAGATCCTGAAACTTCTTTTGTAGGAAGTCCTTTTTATGTACGTAGGAAATCAGGATTCAAATATTTTCCGTTTTTATTTCCTATTAATTAGGATTGATTAGGATTGATTAGTCATCGCTGAGTCATTTTTAGCTATTCAGTCTTGTATAAATACTCCTTATGTAATTTATTCAAATTAATACAAAGAAATACAAAATTCATTATGGTATCAGAGCCTCAGTGTACCGGGTTCGATCCTCACCGCCCCCACTTTCTTTCAAGTGGAATTTCTTTCTTCGCGCAGGTAGGTGGGCCTGTGCATTGTCCACCCTTCAAGCCCAATATGCTCTCATATGAGAGGGCGTGTTGAGATATATAAAACACTTGAATATAAAATAATATGTTGTGTATTAATCTGATACAAAGAGTTACAATATATAAAGACCCTAATGGGCTTAAGTGAGAAGCCCAAAACTAATCCAAAGGAATAATATTTACAGATAGGAAGTAATCTAATCATATCTATTCTAACACTCTCCCTCAAGCTGGTGCTTATATATTGTGAGCACCAAACTTGCTACAAATGAATTCAACCCGAGGACCTCTAAGAGCTTTAGTGAAGACATCCGCTAGTTGATCATTAGAGTTGACAAAAGCTGTCTTAATTTCTCCTGACTGAATCCTTTCTCGAATGAAGTGACAATCAATCTCTATATGTTTGGTTCTCTCATGAAATACAGGATTAGAGGATATATGTAGCGCAACTTGATTATCACAAATGAGTGTCATGGGTTGTTTCTGTTCACAAAGATGAAGCTCCTGAATCAACTGCTTTAACCAGATTAACTCACATGTAGTAATTGCCATTGCACGATATTCAGCTTCTGCACTAGATCGAGCAACAACAGGTTGTTTCTTGCTCTTCCAAGAAATTAAGTTTCCTCCAAAGAAGACACAATAGCCAGAAGTAGAGCGCCTGTCTGAGGGTGATCCTGCCCAATCAGCATCTGAATAACCACAAATTTCTATATTGCCCTGATTTGAATACAAAAAACCTTTTCCAGGTGCTCCTTTGATGTATCGGAGGATCCTCATAGCAGCATCCCAATGAGAATCACAAGGGGAATCAAGGAACTGAATAGCCGTACTAACAGCGAAAGAAATGTCTGGCCTCGTCACCGAAAGATAATTGAGCTTCCCAATTAGCCTCCGATAACGACCAGGATCAGATAACAGCTCCCCCTGTCCGGGCAATAACTTGACATTGGGATCCATGGGTATATCAATTGGTTTACACCCCAACATACCAGTCTTTTCTAGGATATCCAAGGCATACTTCCTTTGACAGATAGAAATGCCCTGTCTAGATTGTGCTACCTCAATTCCCAAGAAGTAACGCAGCTTCCCGAGGTCCTTTGTTTGAAATTGACTGAATAAATACTGTTTTAACTGAAGAATTCCAGCTTGATCACTCCCGGTGAAAATGATGTCATCAATATAGACTAACAAATAGATGCACTTACCAGGAGATGTGATCCTATAAAATATAGAATGGTCAACTTTACTACGAATTAAGCCAAACACCTGAACAACAGAACTGAAGCGACTGAACCATGCCCGAGGAGACTGCTTGAGACCATATAAGGATTTTCGAAGACGACACACCTTCCCAGACTCCCTCTGAGCAACAAAACCAGGTGGTTGTTCCATATAAACTTCTTGTAAATCACCATGAAGAAAGACATTTTTGATGTCAAGTAGAAGGAGTGACCAGTGACGAACAGCAGCAAGAGCAAGAAATAGACGAACTGACGCCATCTTAGCGACCGGAGAGAATGTATCGCTATAATCAAAGCCGAAGATTTGAGTAAAACCCTTTGCAACTAGGCGTGCCTTGAGTCGATCAACATGGCCATCAGGTCCAACTTTCACAGTAAAAACCCAGTGACAACCAACGATAGACTTCTCTGGAGGAGCAGAAACAAGGTCCCAAGTGCCATTAGAATGAAGTGCAGTCATCTCATCAAGCATCGCTTGGCGCCACCCTGGATGGGAAAGTGCTAAAGGTGAAATGAGGTGGAGAAAGACGGTCATAGCTCAAAAAGGTATAAAGAGGATAAGGGTTACGAGTAGTACGTGTACCTTTTCTTTGAGCAATGGGAAGAGCCTCTGGTGAAGGAGCCGGAGGGGAAGAATCAACAGCAGTGGGCGATGAGTCAGCAAGAGTCGAGTCGACAGGAGGCACAGTTTTGCGACACTGATAGGTGAGAAGTGAACGGTCCTCAGGTATAGAAGCAATAGGTTGCTCATCTGGAATAGAAGCACTTGCAGCTGGCAAAGACAAGTCATGAAAAGGAACATGAAGAATATGATCAACCTGTGACAATTGAGATGGGATAGAATTAAAGGGTTGTTGATCAAGAAAGGTGACATCAGCGGAAACTAAGTAACGCTTAAGATCGGGAGAGTAACAACAATAACCTTTTTGAAGACGAGAATAACCAAGAAAAATGCATTTAAAGGCTTTGGATGTTAACTTGTCCTTATCAGGAGTGAGATCATGAACAAAACAGGTACAACCAAAGACATGTGGGGATAGAGGATAGAGAGGAACATCTGGAAGAGTAAATTATAAGGAATGTCATTATTAAGCACAGATGAAGGCATACGGTTGATGAGAAAACAAGAAGCAAGGACTGCATCGGCCCAGAAGTGAAGAGGAACATGCATGTGAATAAGAAGAGTCTGTGCAGTCTCAATGAGATGTCTATTCTTACGTTCAGCTACTCCATTTTGTTGTGGAGTGTGAGGACAAGTAGTTTGGTGTAAAGTACCCTGTGTGGCTAAGAAATTAGAAAAGTCAACAGAAACATATTCCTTAGCATTATCACTACGTAAAATACGAATAGAAGCATCAATTTGAGTATGAATTTCAGCAGAGAATTTTTGATAAATAGAAAATAACTCAGAACAGTTTTTCATTAAATAAATCCAAGTACAACGGAAAAAATCATCAATAAAGGTAACAAAATACCAAAAACCTAAAACAGACACACTACGACTAGGACCCCAAATATCTGAATGAATAATTGAAAAAGGAGCATAAGCTCGTTTATTGACTCAATTAACAAAGGAGGAGCGGATAAAAGAGGAACCATCTTCTATAATTTTGAAAGACTAGGATGCCCGAGGCGACTGTGGATGAGTTGTGGAGATTCTGTGAGAGAACAAGCAACGAAAGGACTCGGCACAACCAGGTAGAACAGACCCCGTGACTCACGGCCCACTCCAATCGTCTTCCCCGTACTCAGGTCCTGCACAGAAACTGAATGGTTTGAGAAGGTGACAATATAGTTAAGAGAGTTGATCAATATACTAACAGATATTAAATTATAAGGGATGTTAGGAATGTAATAGACAGATGTCAAGGTCAATGAGGAGGTTGGACAGATTTGTCCAATCCCATGAACAGGGGCATTAGTGCCATCAGCAAGAGTAAAAGAGGGTAAATTATCAGAATATGTAAGGGATGAAAAAAGTTCCTTATTGCTACAGAGGTGATCAGTAGCACCTGAGTCAAATATCCAAGGACCAAGTGATGCAGAATGAGAAACACAAGCAACGAGATTACCAGTTTTTGAAGCAGAGGCCTGAGACTGAGAAGAGGCCTTCCTGAGAAGGGTCTGGAGTGCTGCATAGTCTTCAGAGGAGAGAGAGACTGTACCATTTGAAGCAGTATCCGATTGAGCTATATTAGCAGCATGAGAAGGTCGCAGGTGAGGATACTTTGTGTAGCAACGTTCCTCATAATGACCAAGTTGCTGACAATAATGACAAAGAGGTTGCTGACCACGTCCTCCTGGGCCACGTCCTCCCTGGCCTCTACCACGACCACGTCCACCTCCAATGTTCCCGCGAAAGTCAGTACGAGAAACTAGAGCAGTGGAATCAACAACAACAGACGATGCAGAAGTAGATTTCTTATTAAGATTCAGAAGCCGCTGATACGTCATTGATAGATCAGGATCCTCAGTAGTCAAGATAGTATCCCAAACATTATCATATTCTTCGGGGAGACCAGACAGTGTGGCAACCATAAAGAGACGTTCCACCTGTTTCCGATATGCAGAAGCATCAGTAGGGTAAGGCAACATATCCAAATATGCCTGCATCAAAGATTGACTTTTGCCAACATATATCTCCATCTGAATGTCAGATGATTTGCTCAGTTCCATAAGCTGAGAAATGATGAAATAGAGCTGCTGAACATCATTAGTGTAGAGGTTTTTTGCTTCCTCCCACACTTCAGTGCAAGTTTGAAAAGAATAGAAGTTGTCCAAGACGACTGGATCAATAGACTGCCAAAGGATACTCAGAAGCTGGTTGTCAATCTTTTCCCAATTAGATTTTTCCTCCTTAGGAACATCAGTAGACTTAGTCGTGAGATGGTTCCCATGTCCCTGTCCAAAGAACCAAACTCGAACAGAGGTGGCCCAGTTCTTGTAATTAACAAAACCCTTCAACTTTGAAGAGGTAATGGACCCAACATTGATGGAGATGAT